ACCCAAAAGTTTTTTTTCGACGTAGAAATTCTCGGTCTGTCGGGTTGCCGGAAACACATTGCTTTTTTTTCTACGCCTAAGAGACATATAGCAGTTGGCAAAACAAGACTGGGCCAAAATTCCAACAGAGAGGATTAAGAAACCTGTTGATGGTTACGGGAAATGATTGATTTCAGTTCTTTTTTATTTTTCTCAAGGATGTCCTACAAAATGTTGAGTTGAGGGTGCCAATAATTTTGTCCTGTTCTGTGTGGAATGATTGCAGTTGGGGCCCCCCCGTTGTTTCAATGTAAACCTACGCAATACATGTGAATACCGAAGAATTTGTAATTGGTACAATTTTTTGGGGAGAAGTGGGGCGTTACCTGATAAAAGTGCATTGGTTTTTGACCATGACTGTGTATATATAAGTATATAATTGATCATTTAGGATTTACAAAGAGTGAATTGAAACGCGTCCAAGAATTTCTGAGGAGTGTTGCCGAAGAGATGTGGTAAATACATGTAATGGGTCTTCTTGTCTGTCTTCAGGCAGACCACGGTAGAGAAGCTTCTGTCCCATATCTTCGATAAGGAGAAGAATGAATCTGCGATTGTCAGTGTCATCCAGATCCTTCTTACACTGTTTGAGACAAGACGACCAGCGTATGTCCTGTGATCTTTCCCATTCTTTCTATTTCATTTCAGGCATGTAAAATTCATTAGAAAGACGCCAAATACTGTTTATTAATAGCAAACGTTAAAAAAAAGTTCAAACGTGAATATTTTAAAGGTTAGGTGAAGCTATATTGTCATTCTCTCCTTTTCTTTTGGACAAAGCTACTGCTGCAACAAAAATGCAGTTTTGATATTGAAACATCCATTAATAAAAAGTTGGTTTTTAAAAAAAAACGACTTTTGGGTCAGATATGTTGTCAGTCTCAAGTTGGCTAAGTTTAAACATTGCATTACAATTCCATGTAAATCAGAAGTGTGAAATTGATGATGTTTACTGTTTCAGGATGTATACTAGGGAGAGCCAACCAAGAGCCATAACCGACACTCCATCCGTTATTTAATGGAGAAATTATAAATTATGATGTCAAAAAACTACGTTTCTACAAAATGCTACTGACCTGGACGCTAACATGTTGCATAACTGATTTTAGCTTCACTGAAAATGTTATGGATGGGTTTTTCTCTTCAAGGTTTGAGGGCCATATGGAATGCTCCCCTAGAATGTCCAATCCTTCATTCTCAGTCAACCATAGCATCTTGGAGGCTGTGAGACCACGCCTCAAAGACTTTCATCAACTGCTGCTGGATCCCCCAAAGGTGCATTGACACAGCATAGTAGTTTGTGTTAATTCCCCAGGCCCCCCAACCGCTGATCGCTTGATTCCAATGTACCATATTTTCACGAGCATACAGCTCACCGCATTAAGAGGCGCAGTGTCAGTTACGAGTCATGTTTCTGTATTTAACACATATATAACACACACTGCATTATTGGACGCAGGCAGGGTAATAATAATAATAATAATAATAATAATAATAATAATATATTTTATTTATAAGCGCCTTTCACAACACTCAAGGACACTTTACAATCAAGGGCAAAACAATAAAACCACAGTTAAAATTATAAATAAAGGAAGTGATGGATTTAAGATGAATATGCAAGTTTGAATAGGTGGGGTTTGAGATGGGATTTTAATGTGGGAAGAGAATCAATATTGCGGATATTGGGTGTAAGTGAGTTCCAGAGTTTGCGGGCAGAGCGGCTGAAAGCTCTGTACCGCATTGTGCTGAGACGGGCAGAGGATACACAGAGGTGGAGGGAGGATGAGGACTTGAGGGAACGAGAGGGAACAGAATTCGAAGATCAGACAGATGGGGCGGGGGCAAGGTTATGGATGTCTTTAAATGTATAGAGAAGTATTTTGAAGTTGATTCTAAATTTGATCGGGAGCCAGTGGAGCTGTCGGGGATGGGGGCGATGTGATGAAAGGAGGGGGTTGTCGTGATGATCCGGGCTAAAACATACGCTATCTTCAACAATACGGTAGCATGCATGCACACACGTTAGCGTAGGTTTTTAAAAAGGCAGCAGGAGCAAAAGTGAGTTTGGTGGTACTTGATCGAAGTATTAAACACGGTACTCACATTATTTTTGGATCAATCCTCATCCACAAATCCGTCAAAGTCCTCATCTGTATCTGAAATGAAGAGCCGGGCAAGTTCTCCATCGAACACGCCAGGTTCCCTCTCGCCATTGTCAGAGTCAGTCTCGTTGTGCGACTCCTCAGAAATTATGCTGGCTTTTTTGAAAGGTCGAGCAACAGTGCAAAGCAGGCACGTTCGCCCAGCAACCACAATCCATTCACAAATTGTGGCGAAACTCGCCCGGCACTGCCTTCAGTCTTTGTAAAGCTGTGTTCGCCATCTGTCATCCATCGCTCACGCGCCGCTCGCAACTTACAACAGTGAAAGCCGACTTCTCATGCCTCTTTGTGCGTATCGCTACCGTGGGCTCTATTGCCCTGTTCCTCAGCATAACTGATCACTTTAAGTTTGACCTGTGCTTCGTAGGCGTGTCTCTTCATAGGTTCCGTTTTCAGGGGTCCGAAGTTGTTTTGCCCAATCCACGTACCAGCATTATATTCACCTACTGGTGGTTGTGGCTTGAGCGTCCTCTTTCACTAATGTCCACATGCCGTCCTCTGTTACGTTCGCCTTTCCTCTGCGTAAGCAGCTTGTCTGCATACCATCAGTCAGTCAAGCGGAGCGCCTATCGAATTCACAATCAACAAGCAACAATCACACATTTTGGAACACGGTGCATAGATTGGGCGCCCCACATTATTAGGCGCCCCGTCCATTTTGGAGAAAATTCAAGACTTTTCAGTGCGCCTCATGGTCGTGAAAATACGGTAATTGAAATCATGTTTTAACACCAATATTTGTAAACAAAATTAGCTGTAGTTTTATTTTACCCTGTACCAGAAGTAAGAGTATGTAGTAACTGCATTTTACACAGGAAACAAGTTTGACCTGTCATATTTTTTTCTAAATCGAAATAGGTAAAGTTAAATCGAGCAGCATTTAGACAATTACAACATCAAAAGATTTGAACAAAATCCAAATATCTATTTTTGCACAAACCCCATCTCGATCCAAGTAAAAGAATGCCATAGGCTTGAAAAATAAACCTACAGTGAGAGTGAAAGCCTTCGGTGTGGACAAGCTTTAGCATAAGATCGAAAGCTTCGGTAAACGCTGCATCCAAAATTATATGGCACGGCCAACAATATTTGGCTGTACATTGTTGATGTAACTACTGAAAGAAGTAACAAGATGTATTCTGATGGCTTGAAGGCTGCTACATATTGCCAGCTCACACTGTGCAAAATATACCTTGAAAGGGAACTAAGGGGCCAAGTAATTAGCTTGTTGTCAACAAGACAAACATGTTTTTCTGGCATTGAATGCAGCAAGACCCACAAATGAGCAGCAAATGAGGCCCTGGCAAAGCTAAGGTGAAGCTTAGAATTTTCGGAAGTCAGCTGACATTTCTAACGTCACGCTGCACATTATTTTTATCCTAAATGAAAATTTGGTGGTGTGTGCAAAACCATGTTTGTGTCATTCTGCAAATGTGCAGAGCTAACCGTATGCATCCATGTGTCAGTCAAGTCATCCAGGTTGCACTGTTCTCATTTTTTTTTTCTTCTGAAATTCAACTCAATAATATTATGGAGAGTGCGAACCTAACCTCGCATATTTTTCATCTCAAAAATATTCCTATGCATGAGTATCTCCCTTCGGTTCCATGCATCCGTTATTTTCTAAACGACAGATTTTTACTCCCACCGACTTTTGATACACCTTATCCTGAACCCTTTTGATAAAATGCTAAAACTTTTGACACCGCTGCCTTAACTATTTCAGTTTGAGGCTGAGGATTCCTGACGCTAACGCTTCAATTTTTTTTTTTTAACACCATGATGTAATATTGCATAGGTTGCTGTTCAGCTGAACTTGTATTCATTTGTATTGATCCAGGGCAGCATACGCCCCAGTGTTTAGCATATGTCAGCCAAGATGATCTGCGTTCGAATCCCTGCTCAGGCCCTCCTGTGTGGATTTAGCATGTTGTGAACGCGTGTCTGTCTGTTTGACCTGTGATAGACTGGCGCGGAGTCCAGGCTGCACCCCGGCTCTGACCCAACATGAGCTGGGATGGGCTCCAGTGACATGGATGTATTGTTCTAATTTTAAGATCTTCTTAGGATGAAAGAAAAAAAAAACAGCATGATTAACACTGAAAAAGGCTCAACATTTTTTTCACTTGCTTTTATATCTGAATCAAGAGTTTGTGCTCTCTCAAACAGAACGAGATGATGAGGACAACGTGGGGGGTGCTCGATCCTCCTGTGGGTAACGCAAGGCTCCATGTGGTCAGACTCGTGGTCAGTCTGTTGCAAACCAACACTCCCTGCATCAGTAAAGAGCTCATTCACCTCAACACCCTGGGAGTAATACTTGTGAGTATCCCAGTTTCAGTACTTCCGCAGCTGGAGCAGTGCTGTGCATACTGTAAATCAAGGGTCTCAAACTCCGGTCCTCGAGGGTCGCTTTCCTGCTTGTTTTCCGTTGTTCCCTGCTGCAACACACCTACTTGATTCAAATGATCAGGGCCGTGATCAGGCCTCTGCAGAGCTTGCTGATGAGCGCGGCCCACTATTTGAGAAGCACTGTTTTAGAGGAAAATGTCACAGTCCTTATTTGATCTGCCTTCTGCTCCACCGATAGCCTCTTGGTGGTTATAAGGCGTATCAAGTTGTGGTCATGTTCCCAGGCAGCGCATAGAAGAAGCGCCATCGGCTTTCCTCACATTGGCAGCATTTCTCTACTTTGTGTCTTCTGTTTGCCTTCCCGTTGGCTCGATAGGACTCACAACAGGAGCCGGTATTGACCAACATTTTGGGAAAAGTCTTTTGGCTCAAGTCCCATACAAGGTTCTTTTTATTAAAGGACTGTAACAAGAATTTCACACATACGAGCACCTGAATTTAAATCCAAAGTGGCATTTCCAAAAATCTGGAGGAACGGTAAAGAACAGTAAAATACAGGCGTCTCACAGAACATCAAAGGGTTGGAAATTTTAGTAAAATTTTGCTTAGCACTGTATGTATGACGCAAGCAGACTCATTCAAAGCAATGATGCAGCGACAAGCGTTTGTGTCAGAATTAATATATTTTATCATCACTTTTCTTGTGAATTTGTGTTTTTTTATACGGTGATTAACTCGTTTTTACTCTTCTGTGACACTTAATCATGCCGGCGTGCTGTTTGCAGTCCCTCCCTATTCAAAACAGTGATCATTTTTGTTCGGTCTTGAGATCAACAGTGGCGATCTCTATTTGCATGACAATTCAGATTTTCTTTTCAAATGTAACCTTAAAAATGGTTGTGGAATGAAATGTTTGGTCACGTCAAGAGGAAAACATATGAAGTCAAGTCAGCTTTATTGTCAAATATGCTCTATGTGCAACATACAGCACAGATGAAATTTCTTTTTTCTCAACCACAGTGCCATAGTGCCACTGTGGGTGTTTTCAGTGCAGTGCATTGAAAACACACACAGCTAAAAATAAGGGCGGCGAAACTGAACTGCATAAAAAAGCCATAAAGACATAAATATATAAATATAAGCAAATACAACTATATTGGGTGATAACTAGAGCACTGTGTTATTTTTCATAGGATATGTATTTCAGATACATCTGGAACAACTTCCTCCACATCCAGGTGGAAATCTGTACAGCTGTGATTCTGGTCATGCCACCTTTCACCACTGAAGTCCAGCTCGACACAGAACAAGAAAATGCCAGAGAGAGCATCCTCGTCAGACATGTAAGATTCAAATACATGATACATTGGGCTACTGTCTCGTGTGGCTGGGTGATATGGCCTGAAAGAGCACAGATTATGAAACAGTTACGTTTGAATGGCTTGAATACAAATAGTCTCTGGGGTGGCCCCGCACCCATTAACTGTGATCTTGTCAACTCTTGTGGGGTATTTGGTTTGGTGATATGTAAAAAAGGAATCGCCTCCACTCACAAGCTCAAGTGATTTTTCTAAAAAAAATAAATAAATAAAAATTGATGCGTTGCCAGGCTCCACTGTCTGCTGAGAATTGTTGACTGTGTTGTTGTAGTTGTTGTTGAGAAAGGTATTGTTGAGAATTGTGGTGAGATTGTCTGTGATTGGCTACTGCACGACAGCTGGGCTCGGCTCCTGCGACCCTCCTGAGTATCAGCGGATTAGAAAATGGATGCATGGATGGCTGGTAGTTGCAAAGAGTGCAAAAGAGTAGTAGTACAAAAAAAAAAAGAAAAAGAAAAAAAAACAAGTCTTTTTTGTTTGTTTGTTTATTGAACATAATAATAAAACATACAATAACAGATGACAAAATGCAAACAAAAATTATGAAAGGAAAATAAAAGTAAGTAATACAAACATCATCACAGTTATATGTTCAAAGGAGTAGGGAGAAGTATACAACTTATCTAGTCCTACCCCTTGTTGTGCAAAAGTATATTGATCATTTCCAATACCAAAGAAAAGGAAGAAATCTACATTTCATCAAATACTTTTACCCTTTGTGTACTATACTTCATTGTATATATTTGTATATATATAATTGTTCTTTCTACTTTTTATATCAAATGACTCATATTCATTATATATACTGCATTTCTTGAATACATTCAATAAGTTGTTCAAAATCCAGAACAAGAACAAAAACATTTTATTGCGAGTCACTGAATTTTTCTTCCTGGCTTCGCCCACACCCCTAACAAAAACTCAAATTCTATCCCATTTCGTGTCACCTATCTGTGTAGGATACATCGTTCAAATGTCCTAAATATTGCCTAAATGAACCTAACATGACAGCTTCAAACCAAAATGGCAGATTTTCCTGTTTCGTTCAGGAAATGGGTTCTTGAGACTTTTTTTGTACGTTTACTCATGATAGACCTGCCTATCAAATATGTGAAACTGTCCGCAAGGGCTGAATTTTCAAACAATCAACACTGTGTACTGTATTCTACCTTGCAAATGCGGTTATCCATTCCCTTGGTCACCTCTTTGTACTCCTCCCAACACATCCTTAGTTTTATGGAGTATCCCGATGGTTTTGGATATTTTCCTTTTAACGTTATCAATATGTGGCTTCCAGGATAGTTTGGTGTCTATTACTAGTCCAAGAAACTTATTTTCATAAACTCTTTCTATTTCAATTGAATTTATCTTTATTTTAACTTGGTCTTTAATTGGTCTCGTACCAAAAATAACTAACTTAGTTTTTGTTAAATTTAAAGATAGTTTATTTCTGTCGAACCAATTTTTTAATTTGGTTAATTCATTTTCCACAGTTTTCAGGAGTTGTTCCATATTTTTTCCACAGCAGTAGAAGGTTGTGTCATCGGCGAATAGGACACATTTGAATTGTTTTGTAACACTACAGATGTCATTTATATATAGAATGAATAATTTTGGTCCAAGCACTGATCCCTGTGGCACTCCATGGGTAATCTTCAGTGAGTTGGATTTTTTGTTGTTGAACTGCACATACTGATATCTATTTTCTAAATAACTTTCAATCCATTTATATGCTATGCCTCTGATACCATATCTCTCTAATTTATTCAATAATATAGTATGATCTATTGTATCAAAAGCTCTTCTGTCTGCATTGTAAGCAAACAAACCATTGTTCATCCAATTTTAACCCATGTTAATTTTATGATATAATAGTGAGACCATGAAGTAATTTAAAAAAAAATTCCCACGTGTCCTATAACTTGAACAGTTCATTGAGAAAGGAAAGAAATCTCTCGCGCGGCACAACAATCAGCTGGTTGCTGAGTGCACATCTTAAATTTAGCAAACGCGTGTTAAAACATCTTTTGATTTAGTTTTAGCTTTTAGTCTATTTTGGGTAGCTGTCTGTTAACAGGCAGCTCATTTTTATTTTCAGGTCAAACATTCCATTTTCTTAATGATTAAATGCAAACACTGAAAGGTAAGTGCGTGCGTGCGTGCGTGCGTGTTGCGTGCGAGCGTGCGAGATAAGCTTTTTGTTTTATTTCAAATTAATTGTGCAGGTTATAGCTAACGATGAAATGTGATCTTATCTAATCTGTGCAATGTCTTAAGTTTGCCCTTACAGGATACTTAAAATATCATTTATATGTATTATGGACTTTAACTGATTACTATTTGGTTCTTAAAAAGTGATTATGCTATTCCTAATTTTAATGCAATGGCCACTGTTATGATAGATTCTACTGGCAGGGCTTTCGTAAGTTTAACTTAAGGTGTTCAATGCCAGATCTCATTTTGGAGGAAGAAGTTAACTTTTTTTGTGTGTGTAATTCCCTCCAACAGTTGTTTCAAAAATGCCATTTCATCCAGAGAATCGTTGATGCTTGGAACACTAATGAAAAGGAGCAGTGAGTATTTCTTGTTTCTTATTTATTTATTTATTTTTTTGAGATGCATTCGTTTAATGTAGGTTGCTAAAATATTTTTTGATGATTAAAACTTCGCCTGTGTAATCAAATGCAGGTGTTTTTTATTGATTTAAATAATTTTTTTAATGAATTAATTTATTTTTTAAACGTTACCGAAGATAGGCATATATGTACTTGATGGGTTGCTAATGTAAACGTTCAAAATGGATTTACTGAGTGGACTTTTTTAATGGAAAATCCTTTCTACTTCACTTTTCTATTTGTGTATTCTATTTTCCCTTACTGTTATTGTGTTAAGGAAAGGATATTGCTATTCCTATTGCAATTTATTTATTTTATTTGGCCTATTGGACTGGGACAAATGCAAAAACAAAAAGAAACTATTGCGCAGCAGTCTGATGTGTGCTTTGTAGTGCCTACAGCAAAAGTTAATTTGCAGCACCCGTCCCAATCATTTCCTTAGTTCCCATTGAAGAGATCAGAGTTGGATTAACAATGTGTGCCTTAGTTTTTGTTGCTCAAGGAACAGGAGTGTATAAAATAGAGTAATCAAAAGTGGGCTTTGAGTAGGTCAGAACCGTGGCTAACAGAAAAATGTTAAGGCGGGTGAGGATACTAATATGTCATAAGTCATTTTTGGTGGAGGAGGTGTTTGAGAAGACACTCTTTTTATTGATCACGTGATATTGTGTTTTTTTGGGAGGGCGGCATGTGAGAGAGGGCTTCTTTTTATTATCTTACTTGCAGACAGTAAAGCAAGAAGCAGCTTTCTGGGCACTCAACATTGTACGAATCATTTCAAAATAAACAAGAAAACTAAAAGGTCAAAAAGCTGGTTTACTTTTGGGTGCTCTGTTTGCTCAAGATTTTTGGGGCCTTTCTTTTTTTTTTTTTAGGCTAGAAGGTGGTCGGCGGCGAGGTTACATGGGTCACCTCACAAGAATAGCTAATTCAATACTTCATAACTGTGACAAAGGCCCTAACGGATTACAGATACAACAGCTCATCGCTGGTAAGAACACATTACATCTGCATCGCATCCGTGTTAAGTCTTAAAAATTACTAATAATTTGTTCTGTGCATGTAGAATTCTCAAATGCGCAGTGAAATGATATTTGCACCATTAACACTGTGTACAGTGGGGATGAGGCGCGGCTGACCTCGACTCGTGACATTGTGAGTCAGTGGGGAGAAAACAGTCATACCTCGGCTTTCGACCATAATCCGTTCCAGAAGGCTGTTCGAAAAGCGATTTGTTCGAAATCCGAATCTATTTTATTAGCCCATGATTAGGGGCTAATACACTATGCAGAAATATTAAGAAAAACAGATTTGCGTAAATCACAACAAACACGTCTGCTCACAATGAACACTACACGAGGAAGCGTCACTTCCTCGTGTAAGGAAGGCGAGAGGAGTCGAGTGGCGTATTCGGGTTTGCTCAGTTTGGTCAAAAACCGGGTTTTGGTCATAATCTGAGGCATGAAAATCTCAAATTTTCTGGTCGAAATCCTACTTGGTCGATAATAGAGACGTTTGAAAACCGAGGTTTGACTGAACTTGGAAGACCTCCTCAACTCCACCAACACACTTCCTAATAGGAAGCAGAATCTGAGGACTCTCAGGTAGGCTCTCCCATCTCTGGGGTTGAAGTCACCAATGTGGTTAAAAGGCTCCTCCGTGGCGAAGCCCCAGGGGTGGATGAAATCCGCCCAGAGTTCCTCAAGGCAGTGGATGTTGTGAGGCTGTCCTGGTTGACACACCTCTGCAGCATCGGGAGGAGTGCCTCTGGATTGGCAGACGGGTGGTCCCTCTTTTTAAAAAGGGGCACCGGAGGGTGCGTTCCGACTACAGATAGATCACACTCCTCAGCCTCTCTGGTAAGGTCTATTCAGGGGTGCTGGAGAGGAGGAGCTGTCGGGTAGTTGAGCCTCAGATTCAGGAGGAGCAGTGTGGTTTTTGTCCTGCCCAACCAGTCTACATTTGCTTTCTGGACTGAGAGAGAGAGAGAGAGAGAGAGAGAGAGAGAGAGAGAGA